CAACCGCGACGCTGGACAGACAGGATCCGCAAGCCAGTGAGGCCAATGCAAGTGAACCCCCGGCTTCGAAGCTACGTCAACAAACTTCAAGGGGGAGGTGTTAGGCAGGAATCCACGCGGATCCCACTATACCGCACGTTTTTAGGCGCTGCTACGGCCGAGAAGCCTGGCTCGCTCGAGGTCGGCCCAAAATTCGGGACGCTTGCCGGTCCGGCATCAGGACGAGATCTGATTGGTCAACAATCTGGACCCAACAGCCAATCATGACCCAGTATTGGCCAAATGCCGGTTGCCAATGGAGCTCCAGAACGCGTCAGAAATTCCAGAAAAGTTATAGCCGCTTACGCTATATATACGAAGCGCTGTACAACTGTTCCTGATTTCGTTTTGGGCGTTAATAGACCTTGTGCACCTTTGGTGTTTGTCTTGACGTGAACGCTAGCTTGAGAGGCTCAGACCGAGAACTAAGCTGAGGAAAATACCGTTACAACAGAAAGTTTATTGTCAGCTAATAGTTGAACAGCGTTCGCCTCAAGATTTCGTCAATTACAGAACCGGAGAGGAATGGAGAGATGGAGTATCCGTGTTGGACATCAATTTTTGTACGGGAGGTCTTGGAGAACTGTACGTATGCTATCCCGTGCCTGCAAGTCTGAGGACACGAAAACATTATACTGATAAACTTGTGGGGCATCCCTTAATGAGCAAACCTGTTAGGGAGGACAGACCCCAGTGTGTAAAATGCGCCACGAAAACCCAAAAAATACTGAAATTATGGGTCGTTCATACATGTGACTTTGTTCTTGAGTCTGAGGGAGTGCGACGACTTGGTCAAAGCAAAACATATTAGCCCACTTAATGCTCTTAAGACGGTGTTTCACATGCCACCACAAGGCGAAGAAGCGCAAGAGACCCCAAGAGTCTTGTTACAAATGGAGTCGGACTGATCTACTTGTGTTGACCAGACTTAGCGCGGACCGCGCCTTGAAAAGGGGCACTATTAACGATTCTCCCCAGTTGTCAGGGCCAGTCTATTTTTCTGAGATGCAGGAAAAGATACCAAACAAAATCTGACTGAAGACTTTATCCCCATCCTTGGACAGTGCAGATGAGGGGTCATCTAGACTAAGTGCTCGGTTGTTTTTTGGAGAAGATATGCAACCATAGACCTCAGACGCCGTAAGGAGTTCCAGGGTTAGACACTTCCAGTGGATAGCAGCAAGCTGTCATAGAACTTGTACTTCAAAGTACTCAACTCAGTTGTCGATCCGTCAGTCTTTCATCAAGATGGCCGTGCTGTTCTGATCGCTCACCAGCGGTTTACCTGGATAGGTTACACGGATCAAAAAGAATCGTCTTCCTTAGTGTCGAAGCGTTTAGAATTACCAAGCTCGGAAACCGATAATTAGCCGGGTCAAATAAGACGAAATCCTTTTCATGAAATGCCACATCAAGGGGGAGAAAACGTCTCCTGCATGACTGAATCGTCTATTGACTTCACCCATTGACAGCTGACAACCCACTGATCCGTCAGCGTCGGACCAAAAATGTTGAAGCTTAAATTCTCCTAAAACGGCACGAACATGGACGTTTCATCACACTGTTCGGCCCAAAGGGAAATAATTAGCAAAAGCGTCATGAAAGTGGTGCAAAATATACACATTCTGATGAATGGAGTCTTAACTGGTATGAACTCCAGGGAATAGCACCTAAAGAACTAGTCAGGTTTTTGCTCTAAATGGCAAGAAGTGACCTGCAATATACACGGTGGAAGGCGTTAGAGAGCGGTGTGATGTGTGAATGTCTTTTTAAACCAATCGGAGCTAACGATATCATTACATAGCCACTTATACCGTGTAGAGCACAATATAGCCGACCACAAAATAAAGCGTGGAAGTGTAAGTGGCGTCCGAACACCATATAACAAACAAAATGAACAGTGACCACAAGAGCGTGCAGCCACCACCATTTGTCATCCTGGACAAGCTTATTCCAAGGAATCCTAGCCATATTCGCGTATTCAGCTGAGTAGTCTTACGATTGACTGGAAAGAAAATATACAAAAATTCCGGTTGACCGGACACTGAATTGAAAAATAGACCGAATACCCCGGGTATCCTCAACGTTAGATGCCTAGCAAAAGCAAGATGAGTTACGTTTTGGATTACATATCACGTAAGAGAAAACACGTTAAAGAATCGCCTGGTGCATATCCCAAAAGCGTTCACTGTGGGTAAACATGAATGTATTTTACATAGAAACAAGACCTGGCCTACTTAGGATGAAACCAACGTAAACCACAGAGTTTAGGTCTTGCATATTCAAGCCGAGCCTAACTCGGCGTTGGCGAACAAGTGCCAAGCTGAATTCCACGCGAGAGTTGAAACCATTCAGTTTAGCAATCCTAGACCGACAAACACGTTCAACTTGATGTGAACCAAACTGCGATCACATACATGAGTATAGCGCATGCTATCCAATTAACACTAAAAACAGTCATTCCAACCGTTTTTGATGTTTAAACATGCACTTTTTATACGCATTGTGATAAGGAGGAATTAGATTAACCACAGCGTTCACTCCTGGTTTAGATGGATGGAACGGTTTGCAAACCACATAACGTTGAATCTTTTCACCTCAATAATGGCAAGACAGTCGAAATGTTTGACCGCAGGAATCACTTCGCTGTCGCGATGGAAGATGACTTACAACACACCGGTATACAGGGTGGTTGTGTAGGATTACGGTTGCATGAGACAGCACTTGTCTCATGCACTCACTTGTCGTCAATCCGCTAAGTAGTAACATGGAGGATGAATGGCCAAAGTGTACCTTAAGAAGTGCTGAAAAGACAATTGGCGGTAGAAATCACCAGTGTGTCTAAAATGAAAACCAGTTTAAAGTAAAAGAGGGAAAGTACTAAAGTGAGACAACTTCAGTATCCCAATGAACAAAACAGGTGCCCCAATCGCACAGAAGGTAGAGAAAAAGCTATCAGCAGACGTTTGAACCCTTTACATTATTGCGTGGATTTACATTTCTCATAGAAGAAATCACGCTAAGCCTGAGCTGAATCAAATACATCGGAAAGCAATGCTCCACTGCTGCCTCCCCCCCCCTCGAGCGCTGGACTATGCTCGTGATGCATAAAGCAAACAAAACAACACAATTAGCCCAATGATTTAATTACCTGTTCTGCTAAGAAAACCACGGAGTTTTGCTCAGCCCAGGGCACCGGCCCAGATTTGTGCAGCCCAGAGTCTTTGTCCGTCGAACTTTTTGAGGGAGTGGGTAGAGACCAATAGCAGCGAAAAATTTCACCCAGAACAGGATTGTAAGGTTTTTTGGCCAAGGACGAACGTCTGCCGGCATGAAACGCGGACAGGTACCAACGCAGACAAGCGACCATTCGTTCCTTGGCTGTGGGTGCATCCGGAATGGCTGCCCACAAGTCGGCATGGGCCAGGAAATCGGCATACATCTCCAAAGTGGAACGCCGTTCCAGGATGAAGGTGGGAAGAGTGATTCGCGTCAAATCCATACCAATCCTGAGTTGGGATAGTAGGTGTGTGATGACAGATCCCTGTGACTGGACTGAACCCACTGAGGGATAGAACAGGAAGCTGTCAGGCGGCAACGGTGTAACAATAGGCAAAAGAAAACTATCACGAGAAAGTGCATCGTACGCGTTGACCTCAGAACAGTGAATGAAGAGTAGCATTTCTTAAGTAGTTGATTACGGGAGCGTCTACTGTGAGTTAGCGGGATCTTTAGACCTGGTCTACTTACCACCGATTTGTGGAAAATTACAGTGGGTAGATGTATCAATATTGCTGGGTTTGTTCGATTGTTTTACAAAGATAAAAAACGCCATCCCATGACTTAGCAGGGGGATATCCTGAGGCGGCCATTAATTCACCGACATCTTGATAACGAATGCGTGGATAACCACAGGGTACAATCGTTTACGCCATTCCGCATTCTAAGTGACCATACGGTGTTATTTTCAGTAATGTCACATGAAGTGGACATATTGGATTCCTGGATCGGGTGTTCCTGCCTCAAGTGTTAGAATTTTGGAGATCAGCATCGCGAGATCATGAGAAGAACGAAGCTGATAGAGCTGACGGGATCAATGAGTTAATGGATTGTCTACTCAAGGCCTCCACGGGCCTGACGGAGAGAACGGTTGTTACCCCCCCCCCCTTTCGAAATCCCGCCTTAGAGACAATTATCGCATATCAATGCGCTATTTGGAGAAACCAACAGACATGATGTGGAGTCCGTTGGGCAATGATGCGAACGAAAGAGCCCTGGAATTTCGTCTAGCTGGAGAGACCGTAGATGAGGACATTCTCCGGAATCCGCCGGGACCAGTACTCATAACTCCTGGTGAACCGAATAGCGAGAACGATGCTCCTTTCACCACAACACTTAGAGGACAGACCGAACGGGCTATCCCAAATGCGAGTCGAAAGAAAAAAACGGAATTATCAACCAACGATTCAACGGGATAAGAATCAACCGGCTGAGATGAGGACTCCTTTAAGACCACTGAATACAGCGGAAAGTGATCCATTTGCTTGAGACCCTTGAAAGTCGGAAAGCCATTGCAACTGTTGACAAATGTTTTGATAGTACTCACAGGCATATCGACACGGAATACTTTGTAACATTAGAAATTATCAACTATGGCTGTGGAGGAGGTGAAAATCCGTTTTTCCGTGCTAAGGGTAGTCAACGACGTGATTCCCCGGGTTCGTCAAATAATATCCAGAGTTGCTCAGGTAAGCATTGTGCGTCGACAGTTATACGCTAATAGACAAAATAGAAAAGTGCGCGATATTGTAGGACACTAGCTAAAACAGGCGTCGCGTGCAGCCTGGTATGCATGGGCTTAGTGAAGCTTGGCGGAAACCTGAACTAAATGACCGGAATAATGACAGGGATCCCCTGCATAGACGCGAGAGAGACAGATACAGGAGTAATAAACATGGGGGCGCACGTAACTGGTGGGAATTGAAATTCTCCGCTAGTGTTCTTATCTTTCGATGTAGCGTATGAAAGCGGCATTTTAATAGTATATAACTATCAACTCGACCTCATGGGAGAGTTACGCATGCACGTTCTGGCCAGCTGTACTGTTATCGCTGCCGCCAACACCCCGAAGACGCACGGCAATAAGGCGCAGAGCCTACCAAGGCAGATGGACGCACGAGAAAGTCTACAATATGACCAGTGGAAGATTATATATACATACATATATATATATATATATATATATATATAATCTTCCACTGGTCATATTGTAGACTTTCTCGTGCGTCCATCTGCCTTGGTAGGCTCTGCGCCTTATTGCCAAAAGTTTCTGTCCTAAAAGGCATAAAGTCAGGGCCACAAGTTCATTTAATGAAAACCGAAATTCATGTACGCGGCGGTAATAACGGGCGCACCTCTGTAAGCAACAGAGCCTAATAAATCCTCTAGTATAACAACCGGTGACCCTCAATTCATTCATTCCGTGTAATGTAGGTATGAAAGTGCTGACAGCGGTTATACCCTTCATGGGACTGCGCCTTCGCCCGTGAAATTTTATTCCAAAAAGTGCAGTGGATAATTCGCCATTTATCTAAAATTGAAACTTTGTGTTCACGATGCCTATCGGCAATCGCGTTTAGTAACGCCATGACGGAATTTAGGTAAGGGCTGGAACTCTGCCATCTGAAAAACACACAAGTAATAGTCTTAGAGAACTCTCACCGGAGGACCAGTGCTTCAACTGAAAAATGACGTAAAGGCCTTTGTGGCGCACACTTGGTTAAATATCATATGTAAAAAGTTTATTTGGATTCTGGTTAGAACCTTAGTTCACGAACAGAAAGATCGACTTAAAACCGTATAATTTGAAATCTATGAGGCACAGTGGCTATTGCATATGTAAGCAAATACCACGGCACAAGTTATACCTTTACATCCAGGTTTAAGCGTGGTTTACTTTGTCCGTTCTTCCCATACTAGTGTAGCATCCTGTGTGACTCGCCTACACGGAATGACGACGATGCCCCACATTGTCTTATTTAGGAAGTGAAAAAAAATAGAAAAGCAATAATGAATGATGGACTCCCCAGATCGCAGCGGTTGGGATTACGCAAGGAAAGAGGGCCCTAAGAATACTTGTCCAGCTGCTGAAACTGCTGGTTTGAAAAAAGTTATAACAACCCACACATGAGAACGTGTGAATCTAATTAGCTTGGCAACGAATTACTAGTCGCTTAACAAGGACAGAAACCGAATTAGGAAGAATGAATCGAGAACATGGGAGACTGAGTTTGGACAAGATAAAGGAGATTCCACTTTTTTGAAGGTATCGGGTAAATTATAAACTAACCTAGTTGTAATGAAACTTCAGAGAGAGCGCAGACGACCAAGGCTACTGGCATTGTGAAGTTACATTAATCAAAAGTTCCTTTCCAGTCTTCTGGCAGCAACAATCAAGACAAATCTGTGTTCACTTCATCAATGGTGTCAAACTTGAGGTGGCTTAAGTAATAAATAACAAAAATAAACAGGTGCAAAACAATACCGCAATAGGTTTAAAACGTATGTTTCCTCTAGCACCTTTCAATTTTGTTGTCTCCGCAAAATTGGTCAACAGGTACCCAGTGGGTAGACTCCGCTCCCCCCTCGACGTATTTTGTTACTCGGAAATATGCGCAAAAGACTTAAGCTAGGTGATAAACCTCAAATCACTCAAACGGAATTTTTATTTTCACACCGCTCTGCAGATATCAGGTGATCACCGAGCGATAACTTGGTGTGGGATTTAAAGTAAACCCTTGGAGTGGAGTCGCTTTACTGAACTGTCTTCCAGCAAACACTTTTAAAAGTTGTTTCCTTCTAAAGCAAAGAGGAGGTCAACAATAGATGACCAAAAACCTTCAGTCCTCTAAGCCGATTTGGTTTGTGAAGGACAGCGACATTGTTACCTCCGTAGGTAATGTAGGTGAATCCTATGGAAGCTGATCTGGGTGGTCGGCGCGGAGTGAAGTCGTAATCGACGTCAGTATATTGGTGCTAAAACACCAATGATTCACCACCGTAAAACGACACATTACCTGAAAGCTTTATCCTGAGAAAAATGGAAAAGGGATTGTGGCCTTGTACTAGACACCTATACCCCGAGGGATTGGTCCTGGCGATCAAGACAGAAACTGATAACAAAGACGCGATTAACATCAGTAGGTAGCAGCCATACATTGAACTCCTCAAACTAAGCACATGAAGGAATCACGCGAATTTGTTGACATCGACCCACATGAGCCATAGTTCTGAGAAAACAGTTATCAACGGTCTGGAGAAGTCCCTGTTCCACTGTTCGCGGTGAGCATGTTTCATAAGTGTACGACAAAAACCTCGCACCGAGGTTCAGGGATACGTCTACTGATTGTCATGACTGTTCCAGATTAGCAGGCGAAACCCAAGTCTTAGAAATTCATGCATGGTTCTTATCAGCTACACCATAACATCTCAAAACCTCGAGTACCTCACACTAGGTTGCCTGTAGCAGCAGAGCTGTGCCACCGATAAGCGAAACCTCAGAAAAGAGAACGATTCTCTTCAAAAAAAACCAATGGGGACGCTGACTGAGTGCACGAGTTCGGATGAACTTCACGACTGTTTCGCAAACCAACAGGCATCTAAATACCTCTTGCATATTGCTGGATCTCAAAGGGTACAGTGGATTAACATGGTACAGGGTGAAAAAAGGATGACGTTTAGCTGGTTCCGGGCAGGCTTGCCTCACGCCAAATATATTTCATTCACCAACAAAGTCTGCAGTTTGAATAGGCATGTCGCAGTTCATTGAAATCTGCATTAGTTGTTCCCTAAGTGATACGAACGGATACTACAACATGAAAAACAAATTGGGGAACCAACCCCAGGGGCGATCCTCCAAGGCTATCAGATACTGGTCGTTGGCTTGTTCGCTGAGCTGGGCAACTTGATTGAAAACGTCTTATCACCAATCGAGGTGACATCATCAGTGCGTTATTGTGGAGCTTAGTAGTGCGTAGCGGTGGGTTGGTGGTTGTGCTATCAGACACTCGACAACTAAACTTGGTTCCACAACACAAACGCACACACGTTATAGGGTAAGGTGGCAGTAACTTATGTCTGCCCATTTCGAAAGATTGATATCACTCTAGACTGGCAGCGCGTTTGGAAATGAGTGCAGCGTTCGGCGACCTGGATTCGCAGCCTAAGCGCGCACGGGGTGGGCCGTAAAGATGGGAGAGCGTACATGATTCACATCGAGGTCAAAATCACAGCCCAATGATGAGCCAAACTTGAGTGCAGTGTTTTCCCCCTTAGGTAGACTGACTAGAACAACTGTTTCATTGAAGAAGGAGGACTGTTCAATCGAGTGATGACACACAAGTGTTTTTAGCTCTATGGAACCGATTAAAGAAGTTGGGATAACTTACGGTCTGTTTCACGATCGTCATCATATAGTTCGTCAAAGTGTTCATCCGCCGGAGAAAAATCCTGCTGGTTATTGACGGACATTTGCACTGCTGTGCTGTTTGAGTAATGCCAAAAAAGTGGAATGGATCGTGTAAGAACAAAACGCTAAGAGAAGCGTCCAACAGTGCAAACCGACAGAGAACGTAGATAGCCAAGGCACACTAGGTGCAAGAAGTGCGTCAACACTTGGATAGGCCCAACACCAAGAAGCCCAACCAGAACCTCAAGTTCATTACCATCTCATAACAAATTGTTTTTAAGTGTCAGCAAGATGTACGGAAAAAGGTAGAGTTCGGTTGCACAACCCATGAGGAAAAACGTCCTAGTTATCAATCAAATCCGTGTCCATATTTTGTGGTGTTCTAAAGTCCTGGTGTCCAAGATATGAGGAATGCGGAGAGGTAATTCGTTTCAGTTTGATCAAGTGAAAAACAACACAGCCTCACGCTGAAAAGCAAACCAGCTAATGATCCAAAGAACAAACCTGAATAATCCTTTGAAGAATTTCCAGTGGCAGCCAAAGTACGATGCAACGAACCGTGGCGTATTCTCAAAGCAGTAAACCAAACTAAGGATTGTCCATACCGGACCTTAGAGACATTATTCACTTTCCGCCACATGCAAATAATTGAATTTTGATGATAGAACATACGACGTTTCACATATGATCAGCTAACTTACGCCTCTGAACAAACTGATACTGTCGAGAAAGCCAATGATCCAGTTTGCATTTATGCGAACCCAACTGCCGCGGTAGAAGCAACCGCCCAATTATTACAGGGGGTATCTTCAGTGCAGTGAGCTAGAGGTGTGAGCGAGTCCTGAGTGTGCTCCTCCAACAATATGCAAAAAAATCGTCTCCAATCAACAATTCGCTTTTGAATATCGTAACAGATGGCGAGGACTACACTGACAAACATCTAGCGCGATTTCGCCCTTTTAAACGACGGTTATTGTAGAACACAGGATCCCTGAGTCCTCAACTTTGTACTTCCGGAGTACCTACAGAAACAACTTGAAAAGTCTACTAATGGATGGTTATCCGAAAAGAGCTTACTTGTTCTTCCCTAGAAAAGGAGAGTTAACACCTGAACAGAGAATCTCCTGGGTGTCGTAAAATTCATCCTCGTCATCCTCGGCAGAGTATCCGGATCCGTCATCTGACAGGGAGTACGAGAAGGCAGGCATTGAAATAGAATGAGACTCTTCATACAAAGCTGAAGCGGTTGATGTAGGCAGTTTACTGGCACTCAGTGCTAGAAAGTTGGGAGCACAGCCATTATATTCGGAAAGAACTGATTCTGTTGATAAATGAGGTACTGGTTGATTATCTTCAGGCACGGCGACTGTTGTAAGGGAGGCGGGCCTCTCTGAATCAGATACTCGGTTTGGACTCTGACGTGTTTCTTCGGAACTGTTGCGAACGACGAAAGACGGGGTGGATTCAGCTGACAAGCCGTGACCTACGGAATCTCCAGCCCCTTGCCCACTACGATCCATTGCGGTTGCCGCGCTTTGGGAATGCAGGAGAGCCGCAGGGCTTTTAGGCCAACTTCCTGGCTTAAAGCTGCCGAACTCGTTGACTTCATAACCGACTTCAACTAGAAAAATAAAAGTAAGGAGTATTTGGAGAAATGAGAAGCGAAGACGACATTGTGGTAGTGAAACTCGTTAACGCCTCAGTAACAAACTACGAACTGGTTATATACGGATAGATGCTCATAAGAGAGGACGGAAAAAAGCTGTGGAACGATAACGCATTAAAACAAGTCAAGTACTTGAGGTTCCATTATTATGTTTGTTCCATTTTAGGGAAATACCCAGGCAAAAATGCTTCACAACGGCTTTGTATTTCAGCGGCCTAATGCTTTTAATGAATCTGGAATCTGTTAAGCGTGTATATTTATTGAATGAGTTACACACTGAACATATTCCGGTACGGACACCAAAATATGAGAAATCACCTAGTTCACAAAAACTGGTTAAGCATGACTGATGATGAGGGTACTTGAATAAATTAAAGTAGGCCATTCACCTGCTGAATAAATGCAGGGTGCCGCAGTTGGTTGTGGACATGACGATAGGGAAATGCAGTTTCTACTGAAAAACCCTAGCACTTATCCAAAAGTCAATGACCTGACCACAGACGAAAAGATTCCGGTTACTGAGACGCGGGGTACAAGAAAAGATATGTGCGGAATTGCACGCTCAGGTGCCAAGTGAAATGACGTTGAACAAGGGACTATGCTTTTTGCTGCTGTTGTTAAGCTTCCATCAGCCTTCAGTGTAACACTGCCGAGAAGAGAGATGTGTCTGTATTATGGCAGTGGGTGAGTGGTCATTTATTTTCAGAAACGAGATTTTCCCAACATCAGAAGACGGATGGAACCTGACCAACGTCATCACTGTCTGAACCAATTGAGGGTGGCAAACCTGTGGAAGTGCATTTTCAAGTCTGGTTGCGAACATTTCAACAAATCAGAATTCTGAAACCGGATTTTAGGGTCACATAAACCTGGCAACATCTACCACGTTCAATCTAAGAAAAACCCAGGCAGGAGAGAAGTAAAGTTTTTTTGCATACAACGCTTTCATCGGTATATACGCTTGATTAATTAACCTTATCACTGGCCATCACTGCCAACTGAACAAAAGGCAATGAATTGGATCATACCTACAAAAACGCTGGCTGAAAATGGAGCTGTGAACAAAGATAGTGTGCCACCCTTAGAATAGCTTTGAATGTTTGTCAGGATGAAACCAATGGCGCAACGAGAGTCAGTAACGAAAACGAAACGTCTCGTATGTTTTTGCTTCAACTTATACGTACGATCCGGAAATATTCATATCTTGCCCCTAGGATCTATAGTCCGAGACCAAAAATAATGACTCCGCTCTGTTCTCATTGCTACTGGAATTTAGCTCTGTCCGAGGAGAGAGAAGAAACTCACAACTGGAAACATACGGACTGTGGGCAGTGTGAAGCTTCGAAGTAAGTCAACACTTGAGACAAAACACTGTAAAATCTCATAAGTAAACTATTCAGCGTAATCTGAATGTGTGCGGTTGACCGTTAGTGGTGGACCTATCTGTGAACCCGTAAACATCAATGGAAAATTTTGTGCATATGAGGGTAAACAGGGCGTTCGTGTAATAATTTTGGCTGTCAGCCGGCTGTGGACTTTACGCGACCTACCTATTGCTATCTTGTCGCATCAGGCAACGCACAGCTTTAGTTCACAGTTCTACTTGTACACTGAAATCAAAAGCGTTTACTTTGTAGCGATGGCCCCCGGGATCGTAAAAAACCCAACCCAAACAATGGGAATTGAAATGCAGTCGATATGCTCTTGCAAAACAAGGTAGATACACAATTATTGGAATTGCGTAGTTGATCAGTTAGCATGTTTCGTTTTATCTCATACTCCGGATCAATACCATTGATGGACAGTGCGATACTTCGGCGAATGGTGCTCTAGGCGCGCCCAGAGCTAATTTACTGAGAGTTGACTATACTAGTTGTCTAACCTGTTGTTACCGAGACTTAGCTGGTATTCAAACAAATATCCCGTTTTGTACAATTCTCTTTATAATACTGTGCAGCAGCTGCGGTTGTACGGTATTATATAATGAAAGGTACAGCTGATTTTTAGTTGAGTCTCTCGTTAGCCACATCTTAATGTGAAAATGTGTGCATCACTCTACTTAATATTTGCTGTTCAACTAAAAAATGAGATTGATGGAAACTCGGAGACTATGTCCATCTAATAAGTCCCACGAAAGGCGAAACCGACAGTAAACTATCCAAAGTTTTCAGCGACCTTATCAGTAGGGCCATATGTAGGAAAATTCCTCTATATTTAAAACATCGTTGAAGCCGGGAGCGAGGTCATCTTCGTGCAGTACATCTAGTCGGGAAATGTTAAGGGCGGGATTGAATTGAGTTTGCCATCAGAACAAGTAAAACAGAGCCCCGTGTGGCTCGTTAATGATGCCTCTGGTTCGAGTTTGTAGTTATTTTTTATCCGTCTGGTCTGAACTGGCTGTTTACATCTGACACTCCGTTCAGCGTGACTGACGATTTCGATTGACTGAACCGTACCCAAGCATGAAACGTGCGTTCTCCATGAGAGATACTGAGCTCGGTTAGGATGTAAGTACACACTCGCCCTATCTGAGGAGAAGGCCACGCAATTTCGCCAGCTGGCTATGAGCTGCATACCCCCTCAGCTATGCCCATCATGGGAACGGGATAAGCGTGAGCACCAAAAGAGGCGGGTGCACAAATGCTCGGTGTGTAAATTGGATCAGTCGAGGTTTCCAGTTCGGTATAGTGGAACACTGATCTAATAAGTCCATCCAATAAAAAAGCCTTGTGACGACCTAATCATAGATGAAGTCAAGTGCTAACCACCAACCGTTCTTGTATTGGCTGACGATACAGAGAAGGAAGAGTAAACTCATGCCTCTAAAGTGAAAAAAAAAACATTTAGAAACATATGCGACTGGCCATTGTATAAGCACTGAAACTGTTCACGAAATAGTGGCTGTATTCGACTGACGTTGCTACATATGCTGCAGAACAGCATCCAGTTCCCGGGTGGATTGACCGGTGTCAGTGATTACTGATTACGCGTATATCGATAAACGTTTGACGCCATCTGTACAGAACAGTACACGAGACTTGACCAAACTCAATACCAAACAGCTGTTTGACATGACACGGTTCCTTCGTGATCCACTAACCACCCCACGTCACCATCGATGCAGAAAACAGAAGAACAGGAGTTCTGATTCCTTACCCTCACGCTCGATGGTCCTGATCGAACATCACTGGCGTTCGGTGCGTCAACAATCACAGCTCCAATCCTTGGTTGCACATCCAACTGACACAAGTTATCTCAACAACATAAAGAGAGAGGGATCAGCACAAGGTTCAATCGCTACAATTTGTTTCCAACACAGAGCACAGCTCAATAAAACTTACTGCACCAGTAATTTACTATCACAAGAAGCGGGGAGTACTGTCAGTAACAGGCAGATGCGACATCCAGGAAACAAAATATCAACGTGTGGCCAATGGTCGGTATAGGCCGGTACCTATCAATATCCTAAACCTTTTCCCAAATCAGAGACTCTGGGTTGAATCATGATGAGTGGTTAGTAACTCGAAAAGAAACTATCCCATTGGAATGTGAAATGGTCTGTTTCAATGAAAAAGAAAAGCTTCAGGTATAGGAAACCCGAACAACAGACACACCACTTTGTGGTGCGCCATAAACCACAGCGACATTCACTTCGGATTGAGAGCAATAACACGGATGACTTGGAGGAATCAACCGGTCAAGTGGTGGAACAGAATCTTGGCACACAAAGTTGTCTAGGGCATACAGAAGAAAAACACACCTGTAGCTTGTCGTTGACGGAAACTTCGACTGAGACTCCTTGCTGCTGTAGAGTTGCTTGAAATCCCAGGGGTAGATAAACGTTGAGCAGCTTGTTTTCTGTGAGAAGTCAACACGGTGCTGTAGCTTGCAAACATTGATTCCTAAGACAAAAGACCGAGGAAAGACGATCAAAACTATGGATATCCATCGAGGATAGCTACTTGCTGCGAATAAAAGGAGACTAATCCAAGCTTCATAGTGGTCAGGAGATTCTGAAATTTCACTCATGGACTTAACGTGTGAGGCAAATCCACCCAAGCAATAAAGCCGACAAACACCGGATAACCAATGGTTCCTTAGTGGAAAAGACCAACAGTGCGCATCTCACGAAGATGATTCCGACAAGCAAATGTACGGACAACAGCTGAGCACAAATTTTCAAGTAGTAGTTGGTTGGTTTGTACCTAGATTTCGAATCGCCTTTCCAATTTGTGAGATGCACAGTGCCGAAGATACCCAGATGTGGAGTGCTTTTCCAAATAGCTTGACCTCACTTACAGCAAGGAATCCCGATTGAATAACCTACACAATGGTTTGTTCCTGTGGCAACGAAACCCATTGACACTAGACTGTAGACAGATTCAACAAGGATGGTGTGGAGATGGCCATGGTGAACGAAAACCGACAAGTCTATGGAAATCGTTCGAACAGTACAGATACCAGCCTTCATTGACCAATGAAGCCTATTTTAACACATTCGTGAAAGAAAAGAACACCGAGTTACTGAAACATCAATGGCATCCTACTGTGACAACAAAATATGTTCTAACAACCAAAAGATTTTGAATGGACATAAAATGATCAGGTATGGCGCACTCAGCTACGTTACCCGATTCCAACCCTTGGAGGGAGTGTTAATAGAAGGTCACTCCCAAGGAATTCAGTAAACTTTTGTTTATTTATTCTTCAGCTCTCAAAATGACTCGAAGTCTACTGAAATCCATGAGTACATCTTTGCCCATTAACCAAGCTTTATGTTAAAAAGTCGAGAAACATCGCTAGCGTGTTACCTATTGTTAGGCAGGAATCCACACGAATCCCGCTGTACCGCACGTCTTTAGGCGCTGCTACGGCCGAGAAGCCTGGCTCGCTCAAGGTTGACCCAGAATTCGGGACGCTTGCCGGTCCGGCATCAAAACGAGATCTGATTGGTCGACAATCTGAACCCAACAGCCAATCATGACCCAGTATTGGCCAAATGCCGGTTGCCAATGGCGCATCCAGAACGCGTCAGAAATTCCAGAAAGTTACAGCCGCTTATGCTATATATACGAAGCGCTGTACAACTGTTCCTGACTTCGTTTTGGGCGTTAATAGATCTTGTGCACCTTTGGTGGTTGTTTTGATGTGAACGCTAGCTTGGGAGGCTCAGGCCGAGAACTAAGCTGAGGAAAATACCGTTACTACACCTATCTACTGGAATCATGTGTCAAGACCACAGTGATGGTGATAAGGGTGTTGATACTAATGACGGGGACTGTGATGATGATCATGACGACCATGATGGTGGCAATGGTGAAGATGACAAGGATAAAGAATAAATCATGTGAGCTTTCAAAAAGACTTCAACGAGCTGCAAGAGTGAGCTCTTAAAGTCTGTTCACCAATACTAACATATAACTAGGAACGTTTACAGCTACAAGACGAGTCAAGAAAAACTAGCGAGGCACGAAATGATTTACAATCACGCGGAGGCGAGCAAAGTGGAAAAGCTACTCGATCAACTTACCCGCGCAAACTGAAGACAAACAATAGTCTTTTTGACCAGTTCGATCAAGCCCTGATGACAGAAAAAAAGAAACTATCGATTAATGCCCTCAGGCACTGTGGGGCAGACATATCAAAGTTTGCTTTCCGTGAAAGGTACGTGTAAGCATGAGTGACTCAAAAACCAAAATGCACTGAATCCATGACCAATCGGCTCGTGAAAACCAGCTAAACAAACATCCTATATCAATTCGCAGAGAAATAAACCTTCGTAACTGCACTTCAGTCCAGTGACGTGAATTCAGCTCACTACAGCCACCTTGTTTAACGTGTTGACAGAATTATTCGCACTAGATAAGATAGTAACGTTACTGTTGTATACGTGCGCGTACCCGATTCAGCCCGGTTAACCTAGGGGACATTTAATATTCTCTACCCTGATAAAACAAACTAAAGCTGAGGAAAACAACCGAGTGTAAGTCTTTATGCGTGTGACTTTAATGAGGCTATTTTACCGATGACCTTGTTAGATACATAGTAGTACACTAACACCTCAAGTTGGACATCACCACTATTGTGAAGAAATGGTAGCAGCTATATGAAATGAGGAATTTACAAACGATGATAAGCAGTTTCCTAAACGCCACACGCAGCCTAAAACTGGGTCCAGGCTACAGCACCCGAATTAATCATAAGACCAGCCATTTTTGCGGGGTTGTCTTTCCGAGCCAAGAACTTATTCGCTTCAATAGGATATACGGAAAACTAAATGACGATACGGAACCAAATAAAAATGGGTAATATTATTTCCGAAATTCTTAAGATGAACGAGTGAGAATAATGCAAATAATTATGATGCGCAACATTTTATCCATTATTTTGGCTTTCGATCTCAATGTAAGTACTTCCAATCTAGAAGCGACGTAAGTGAACGGATGCGCCGACACGTAATGTATTGGTGATGTCAAATTGAGATGGGTTTCACTGGGGAATAGTACAAACGATTTAACCAGGCTTTTGAAAATCTGTATGGGATATCATGGTCGCATTTAGCAGTGACTTTTTAGAAGGAAATTGCTTAAGAGTGTTCACAAATTCTCCACTTCTGATTTAGATAATTGATAGCTCTAATTTTGAGCAGAAGTTTTGGTGGCTGAATCAACGCGAACTGTTTGAGCTACTCGGTTTGGTTGTTGTGATCGAATTTATGAAGCTCTCTCTCGGGGATCTCGACTAAATTTCAACCCAGTACAACCGAAGTTACAACCTAAAATCGATAGGGTGGTCGCAGAAGTTCATGCGGAATCATCCAAACGGCGCCATAGAAACTTGCCACCGGACAATCAGCTTGTTTCTCAAGTTTAAATCACATCGAAACCTCAAATACGGGAGGCTGGTAAAATCTGCCGTCATTGCACATTCAAGAGTGAGAATAATCCCCATGAACACTGACAGCAACAAGAACAGGCGTCGCTGTGAAAAATAACAAAGTGGAATAGAGGAGTTTTCGGAAAAGGTCGGTAAAAATCGGTAGATTTATTGATGGTCAACGTTTCAATTTTGACATGAAAGCTTTGTCAGGCCAAGTGGTTGAGATATAAGGCGGAAGGAGAATCAATCAGCGAAGTCAAGCTAAATTCGTGTTAGGTGTCCGCCAAGGGTTTTTTTGTTAGGGTGGACCACCAAGTGTTAAGCCGATGGAGATACCTAAATGGATTCGGATCCAGATTAGGGTCTAGTTCTTCTCGTTCACGTGATGATCCCCTTTGAACGTCGTTTGCACTTTTCGACCGTCTGCGTCGATGAGCTAGTGCTACGAAAGCTGCGTAAGGAAGAACCCTGGTCGGGTTGGGATTTCCACCCCCTGTTTTTGCTAATGATTCTACGCAGATTGACAACCACACGGTCACGTGTCAACTCGGTCTATCTAAGACCGCTCTCTATACGCTCGCCAGTTCCACACCCTCGATTCTATTTGCGCTGTGATTCTAGGTAATTTCTGTCGCCTCGGCTATCAGCCACTTTTGTGTGAATCGAAGTCTCCGTCTTAAAACTAACACATTCTCCAGATCTGTTATATGTCCTGTGTCTAAAGCATGTGTCGCCATCGCTAAGTTTTCGACTAGTGTTTGGAATAGAGGTTTCGACCATAAATATGCAGTGCGCACCCCATGTGCCTTGATTTCCAGCGCTTAGTCAAACAAAGTAGAAACAAACGACTGGATTGAATGCAATTGACTGAAAGCTACCATCATATCTTGGAGGATCTCTGGTGAAGTGTAGCGGAGTGTAGGTAGGGTTCCTGCAGAAAGAAGAACGAGTATTCCGCATCCAAACTTCTCAAACCCTTCTGCCACATAATATTGATCCAGCTATTGACCAGGACTTCTCTTAATTCTCACAGAACAATACAGTGCCCGGAATATGAAAAGCACAACCCTATTCGTCCTGTAGATAATTTTGAAGTAAAGAAACTGTCACACCACCGAAACCCGCACTGATAATGAGGAGAATCATTCTGTTATGGCACCCTTTCGGTACGTAGCTGCTGTGCAACTTGAAAAGGAATGATGGGAGAGATAATTCTAGTTCGCCCAAGCTCAAGCAGAAGTAACAGAAAAACCAGGATTGGATTCTAATCATGGACCCTCCCGTCAGTAGTTTCATACGTTAGCTGCCTAGCTACTGGAGCCCAGATTGATACGATAAGAACACTGTAGATAGTATACAGCAATACAGGTGAAAAATCGCTGTCATCTGACGAGATCCAGTTCCCATGCAGTTCGTCCAGAAACAATATGAAAATACGGCTTGCTTTGCAGTCTGATGAACACGGCCGCTGAGATGCAGTGACATACTTGCCTGGCCTCTCGACCGATCCAGGAGCCGGGTTACATCGTAACCGGCATTTGAGACAGATCGAGAACAATCGTTACACGAAGGCTTGGAAAGTAGTCACTAAGATCATTGCCGGTATCCAACATCAACAAACGGAGATAACGAATGCCGATTCATACATCTGCTTGTCCTGTCTTTCCATCTTGGTTATCTAGCCTGACGAGGCTAGTGCGTCAGAAATACTGCCTGGAGATAAGCCACTATTTACCGACGGTTCTTGGAAGGTTGAGGCTTTTTCGAAAGCGGATTTAGCCCAGCTAACAACATTAGCTCACTCATAGTAAAAGAAGCTAGGTCGAAAGAGGAATCACAGTCCTAACAAGCAAAAGTAAAGATATGGGCATAGCAAGGAAGGATAAAGTAGCCAGAAGCTTGGCAGTGGGTTGAGATTGGACACAACTGGGAACATTAACCTAACAGATACGTTGGGTGGAGGATATATTGAAAAACGACGGAATAGTACGTAAATGGCCGAAATCGCTGGTTAAAATCTGTGAAAGGGCAGCAGTCAACCGTACACTCAACCATGCGTATGTCCCCGTTGATAGGAACACATTTCGATACACAATGAAGAAGAAAAATGTTTGATTTGATTGGGATTATTACGTACGAGGTGGTTCAAAGGACGAGAATACAAGATGGCCAACTTCCAACTTCCCATAATCTTGACGTATCGTGTTCCGTGTTGATAGAACACCTTCGGGGAGTATCAAAATGCCTCACTGTTCATCGACGGGGTAGCTAAGGAAGGAATGTCTAAAATTCTCTTACAAAAGGACTTGAAATTTCAGTCGGACCTGAGTGTCATAAGCGGTTTAGCGGGTGTGAGATAGGAGTTTTCGTCCTCTGATTAACGGACACGACTAACATTTGTTTCTGAAACACAACGAATCCTTAGCAGCTGGGCACTTAAGAGGGAGTCATTTATATGTCAAGAGATCAGCACAAAAAGAGAAGACTTATCAGGAAAATGATGGGGAAAACAAGGGTACCGACTGGGAGCTTGATGATTAATGAGTAATGACACATTGCTCTCTCTCCTCGGCTTTGGTTTTACGGTCCCAAATCAGTTTACCAATAGTAAAATGTTCCAACAGCGATGCATTGAGCATATGCCCAGCCAAATTACTCACTAAACCGAGTGAAGTTCAAACAAGATATTGTGGATCGGGATATCAACCACTTAAAACTAGTCAGCCAACAAATTTAAACTTTAATGTCTTTTATTGAAGGGTAAATAGGTCATTTCCAGAGAGATTCTCCAATCTGGACGGGCTTCCGTGAAAAAATCCCGTTATACTAATCCTACCTTTATAACTGTGTCCTTCAGAGGTGCCCTCGTGAAGAAATATTGCACAACCAACGTGGCATGCTAGGTCTCCCAGGCGAGCGAAAAATCCATTTGGGAACTGCTGATCGGTGAACAGTCAGGTGACTAGTGCTTACTGAGGATCGATCCGTCCTGCTTTATTTGTAAGTCACTATACATAAAAAGATAGCATGACAAACCTGAAGAGTTTTAAACAACTTTTACAATTTGGTTTGTTTGGAAGAGAACTCAGCACACCATTGCATACTTTCCATTCAGTTCACTTTCCAGCATTATTATCTAAAATAAACAAAGTGTCCAACAGGACACATCTATTCACGCACCTAATAGTACTAAGGCACAGCTAGTGTCGAGATGCCACATTCTCTGATTTGGGAACATAAGGAAAATAATCAAAACACGTGTAACTCAAGGTGTGGGAGACTTCTGTTAAAAGCATAGAGATAGATACTAATCTTCTGAAATCCCGTACTAGTGGTTTGTACTGTCTTATGCGTTACGAGAAACAGTGAAGGACAAACACAGCGGCGGATATAATGAGATTCAGTCTCAGTTTGGTTTGGCACATATAAGATCCATTATTATAGACCACCGAAACCCTCCACTATGGACCAATTTCGTAGACGCAAATAGTGTGGAGAGTTAGAACATGCTTCACTATCATGGGACAAAAGGGTAGTCGGAAGCGGGCACCATGCGGATCAGTTGACATGAAATAGCTTACCTGGAGGCGATCGCAGATGGCATTTACTGTTTCCGGTTGACATTCTTCCGTTTCGGCATTTTGGAGCGAAAGATCCTGGAAGGACACGCAAGTAAATCATAATAAGTGCGAGTAAGAAAATCACGACGAAGTAACTTGAACTCTCGGATCTATGTAAACAGAGTCGTTCTGGACTTTATTATGAGGCGATCAATGCGAGTCACCGAGGAGTAAACAAAATAAAGTGAACTGATGAGAAACAAGACATACAAAGACACATGCATACAAGACGCAGAAATTCTGTCTGATCCCGTGGCAAACTTCCGCTCGTTACACTGCGAACTCGAACATGTGGTTTGAAACTAAGTATAACTGTCTGGGCTCCGCTTTTTGAAGTAAGGGACATCCAAATGGGCAGAAAAAATCTCGCAAACCCCGCGCAGGCAATCTGCTGAACGTGGCTAACGACCAGATGGCACCCGCGGATACTACTACCACCTAAAAAGTGCTTGATGAAGCAGTAGACAGTAGTCATCACAAATCAATAGGGATCTCAGAGTGTCGCCTTTAACTGCTCCATTGTCGTCGCATTAACGGAAAATCCTTGGTCAGTTTTGATGGAACATGACCGACTCAACGTCCAATACTTATTGAGGCTCCGCCAAGTGCGATATACGGTCCAGAAGTATTTAAAATGTGTCTTAACCAAGCTCTGTCCATAATTAATCTGCGAGGACATCAAAATATGGCACCCGATTCGTTGTTCGGATGTGTTGTCAGTACAATCCGACCCGTAATGGTCTGTCGCAGTATTTAGCAACCTTGAGTAGCGTGTTTTACCCATTTGCGACATTTCTAATTTCATGCCAACTGGAACACGATAAGTCCTTTGCGCAGAACATAAAGTTGGATAACATCATAAACCGGGGATTCAGTTGAGTAGCTCATTACACCTAAGGCGGTAATTCACAACAGTAAATCACATTGCGGTGACAAGGTCATACGTTGTGACACACAAACCAACTCAAGAACCGTACGTGCCCGTCTGCACCCGTATAGTTAGACATTCTCGAAGGAAGTATGCCGGAACGAAGCACAGCTGGTGTCCGCACAAGAGTGTGGGACAAAAAGTATGTGCTGAATTCTTGACAAAATATTGCATCCGCATGAGAAAATGAAACACTGCACACTCAACCTGTTACGCTGGAATCTGTGTCTGGTCAGTTTTTCAACCAGGAACCGTGCACACGTGTAGGGCAGTCGAGACAGGAACTAAACGTCAGTGATAAAATAACAGAGCTCGTTTTCAGATGAGCGAAGAAAGATAAGACCAGGAGACGAAAGCTATCTCAGGCAACCCGCCAATTCCATGAGTTCCTCATATCCGCGAGTACGCAACCACCAAATGGGTTGGTGGACAGTAAACACAAGGTAAATAAAACTGGTGGCTAGGCATTTTGGTCGCATGAAGCTTCTATGATTGCAATATCTACAGCAGATATGCTCGCACCCAACCAGCTACACTGTTCTACCAGTTCACAATACTTCTTACGGCATCCACTATTCAACGGCGGCTGTTTTCGACCGTGACTCGTGGTAGGGGACGAACAGAGCTAGTCAGGTGGGTTGCTTGTTTTGTTACAGCGCAAGTTGTTTACTCCGATGTCTGCGAACATTCCGACGGAAAAACTCAAAACAAATTGACAGACAGTAAATATTAGTAATCGAAACAGGTAAACAAACGGCTAGCAGTAAAGGTACCTGTTGTTGGTCGATCAGAATTTGCAGATAGGCATCGGCCTCGACAATACGTTGGTCGAATTCAGATAGGGAACTTGGATGATCCAAAAGCCGATTAGTCTACAAAAGAAAGAGAGTAAATGTAGAGACAATGATTTGAGTCAAGTGAATAAAACAGCGGGCCTAGAGATGAAGAAGCAATGTGCTTCGCTGTTCACCAATCCTTTAGCTTGTTATATAGCAACTGCGATGGCACAAGATGACAGAAGATATTCACCGATGGATTGAGGTAACAACGACTTGGAAGGATTATTACCAAACATGTTAAGATGCAAACGCTATAAATAACTTGGAAAAAGTAGTTTGACAGGAGAGTGAGCCTACAACGAGATTATCTGAATCATCACCGTTGTACTACCGAGCATCTACATTTCGAAAATGTCGCGTGAACAACCACGAAGATGAGTTGGAATCATTGCAGATTGGACAGTAAAGTGAATCACATCATGAAAAACATGCGAAATGATATGCGCGGCTTGCAGTTTTCAAACAGTGAATCCTTTATTAAAATGAAGATACTGAGTATCTGATTGTTTGCCTGGTAAATATTTAAAGTGAATTACGATACCATCCGTAGCAATTGGTGTAATATCAGGTGGAATAGTTAATCAGCGAGAGCTCGTTTTTGGGAAAAAACCGAGCACTGAGCGGTGATGGAGAACGTTGGGACCAATTAAGCACGTCAAAATGGGACCTCGACGTGCGTTGACAAAGTTTAGACTATAAATCAGATAAGCTCGAGACTATCAATTTTTGATAAACTAGTCCCAAATCTTGAGATGCGTAATCGGGATCTATCAGATGAATCATCCAAAACTTACTGTAAGCAGTGAAAGCTGTTGCTTTGTCTACAACGGCGACAAGGTGAACAGCAGCGCAGCTGTAACCTTGGTATATACGCCAATTGTAATCAGACGAGGAGACAAACTCAGTCAATTGCCAACAAAATCGAATTAGAGTACAGTTTATAACGATAAATTTAGTCACCAAATAAATGCTATGAAGCCTCCAGCAATTCACTGAAAAAGCAATTTTTCGGGATTTCCTGCAAGGTTGTTCGCCTGTGAGGCTAGATGGTTTCGTATGGCAGAATGCCAGAACCGTGCGAAAAAGTGTGTCATGGCCTACACCGAAGGCTACAGTAACCAAATCAGCTATTTTGTTTAAGCACAGGGTTTCCAGACACTTTTGCTCGAGAGCCAGTCTATCATTCAGATACAGCTACGCAGGCAAAATGAAACAGAGATCCAAATTATATCAACACAATGAAGTTAGGCTCGAAAGTTGTGTATACTCAAAGCGTCCACATTCGTACGCTTCTATCACTGGAATGTTCCGAAAACATAACACCAAAAAACATCACAACGATAGCAAAAGCTTTGACTATGGAAAATGTGGATTTACGCTTCTATTAATAGCGTTTTAGTAAAATTCAGAATAATCGTAATAATCGTTCAGCTGCTACACCCTTTCGGTGCCTAGCTGCCATGCAACCCGAAAGAAGCACGAGGGCTGGGATAATGCCAGGTTGCCCAAGCCTAGACAGGGGAAGTCGAGAGGTAGAGGTCAGGCTCGAACTACGGACCTTCCGGTTAATAAATTCGCACTCTACCCACTGAGCCATCTCCCCCCGATTCAGAATCAGGTTAGTACGTCCAGTCGTACTATCATTCTCCACAAGCTCACTCAAAGATCTCCTTCGTCAACTTCATGCTTCTCCGCGGCGCGCCAAAAAACGTGTCCGCGATGGTCATATTTGCACTTTGACATCGCACTTTGTAAGATGCGCCAAACGCATTTAGTGTAGTGTTTCGGCACTCATGAGCTGAAATTTGATATTTGTGAAGACCCAGCGTCCGGAAGCTTACACGCCCACAGAACGATGACACACAAATTTGAACTCAGCCCTAGGTGCACCACACTGAGAATGCAGGGTAAGGTGATTTTCGGAAGTAGAGTACTGGATCTTTAGGGATATACAAAGTTTGCCGGTAGCTTTTGAAACGAAAAGTGCATTTTTGGCTTGGAGGAGCAGTGCAAGAGAATAACTAGTTCATAGTCGAGAAGAATATTCTTCCATCGCTTGTCTAAGTCATCCAGTGAAGAGTTAGGGTTTTCAAGTTGTACTACGTATAGGTGTTTAACCTGCGATTTATTGTTCATAAGATCAGTCTTTTACGATAATTTAGGTTGACGTGCTTTACAGCTGGAACGTTACTTCACTCAATACAAGAACTTTTCACTGGAATTCCAAAAGTTCGGACTCTAGTGCATTGTATAAGTACACAATGTGAGCGACATTGAAAGCTCGAACATCACTAAGACTTGGCTTAAAAGGATGTCTTCGACAGTTCGACATGCATTCCATTTTAGGAGGTAAATTTTTCTGGTTGTTACACGAAAAGCGGTGAACTGCCGAAGTTCATAAAATCTGTAGATGTTCACCAACATGATGCTTCTGTTTGCTTGAAAAACACTTTGATTTTAATAACATTTGTGCCCTCATGATGCATACCAAAAGAGTAAATCCTCCCGTTCGAAATGTCATACAGGAAACAGATGACGCCAATCTTGCTGAAGTTCTCCATTAAGTGATGAGGGATAATCAACACCAGTCTCGAAAACAACCTCCAACGTTACCCTAATTTCGACAGTGTGTTGTGCCACCGACCGGAATTTTCTCCGTGTAAGTATCATGTGCGTGACCACGTGCCCCAAACCACGTTGACCGATAGGAGACAGGGAGTACTGTCAACAAAATTTACCGAAAGGCCACCATCACCACCACAAGAATACTGCTTAAGGACCATCCCAAGCGCACTTTCAATCTCACTTGAGGATGCAAATCAAAATGACCACGGTAGAGAGGTGCACGTGAGGGCGTCAACAAACGTAATCAATGAAGCGTACGTCAGTTTTATCCACGAAACGAAGTAACAAAACCCTGTGCTAGGTCGATCTATTTATAGGAGCTATAATGCACAGCACACTGGGGAACAGAAAAATGACCTTTCCAAGCCAGTAGGATTTGCCTGAATGGATGTCGGATGTAATGAATGATAAAAGGATGACGCATGACCGACAAACGGACAACGTGAGAACATACAGAAATGGATTGCTGCACAACACTTCGGGTGTATTTCGCTAGATTTCTTTGGTGCATACCGAAGAATAAAATCAGATGGATGATGAAAACATAAAAGTGCCAAAAAAACGGAACCGGTTGTATCGCTGATACTACCTCGGTGATAACGTGGTTTTCGACATCCCGATGGTAAAGACTCTTACTGTGCCTTATTCATCTATCTGGTACTGCTTTGCAGTATATGCTCAAAGAGATATAGCAAAATATAGACGTGCAACAGCCTATATCCTAACGTTTTCTTGAGGCTTGATACGGGGAGGTTGTGTTTCAAATGGACAGTTGCTATTGGCTTGGAATTGACCGTGTTTGCTGCCATCAACCGGGAATGATCAGACAGTCTGCTCTAAGTGATGAGTGGAAAAGAATTTCGGTGGTCAAGTTGACCAAATATATCACTGAACACTCACCACTTGAAGCATCTGTAGCACAACGAAAAAGATTCGGTTCAGCTACAGATGAGGTAACTGAAGGAACATTCGTATAGGGAACAAGGAGCCAAACCGATTGTCAAGATAAAGTGATAATGCATAAACGGTGTCGTAATCCCCACAGGAAACACTCTTCAGGGTAGTCGCGAACGATTGTGATCTACGGAACAGCCAAGGATAGACAAGACGGCCAACATCATATAGTGAACTCTGTTAGGAGTGGTTGTCGTACAACATTACAGAGTAAACTAGCCACCACTGTTTCTAATCGATTAACAGCTTAGGTCGGTGAGTTCATCGGTCTAGGGAACCCGGCTTCACTCTGAAGTAACTTAACCAGTGAAAGTGACTACAATTCATTTTCACTCATTCCAGTCTACCAAGCATCAACAAATACCACTCAGAAGGCACAGAACAGATTGAACGAAAAACGACGCACACAGTAGAGTCAATCTATGTAACCGGAGTAATTTGGGCTCTAAGGCCAGCAGCTGTGTGATCAACCTAGAAAATGAGGAACAAAACCGTGAGAATATCGAGCAAGTAGCCTGCACTACAACACAGGCGCACATCTGCGGAAGTTAACGACAGCAATGCAGAAAAAGGCGTGTTTTATTGAAACATACTATATGCGCACCAAAGGAGCTAGTTGATGTTAAGATAATATTCACAATATTTCCTAGGGGTATATGTCGAAAGATACCGATGAATTCATACTGAAAGACTACCTGACATGAGAAAGAGACGGAAGCCCAAGAAATCAGTCATGTCCAGAAAAAACGGTCATACACAGTCAAATAGCATTCCGATCTATCTTACCTGATGAATGAGGGCATAGTTTTGTGTGTGCAAGTCTCTTGCCTCCTGCAGGGCATCGAGCCACTTCTGCCTTTCGTTTGCATCACGTGCTAAATGGAAAAACGAGAGAATTTGGAGAAATGCAACGTTTTTCACTGCGTCCGTGCTGAGAATAAGCTAATAGAAAAAACTACTCATTAAACAAATTCTTAGGAAGATGAGCTAGAATGGAACAGAATAACGAACACAAGTGGAGTGTCTGTGGTAACATCGCTGACAGCCGGGTAATTCTATCGGGCGGGACGAGTATCAGTTGTAAATTGATATGACCCAGTGTGAATGTTGCAAATTGAGCGCGAAAAAGCTCCTATCCTATTCGAATGGTCGTAGGGGTGGGCAGTAAGAGTGGGGGCTGCTCGGCTGTTCAACCTAAATAATTCAGCTTTACGAGAACATTGGTGACAAAATTGTTTTAAAAATGCATGCTATTTTGAGGCGACAAGGCAAATTGAATGCACATAACCCTAAGCGTTTTCTGAACGCACTTTTCACAGTCCCTCTAAAGAAGTCAACTAAGTGGATATCAGCAGAGGCGGCTAATTACTTTAGGGCTACAGCTTAACAAGGATATAACAAAAAAACCATCAGATTTGAAAACAGAAGAAATACAGTACAACAGTTGAGATGGAAATGTCACAGCGAATTGCTCGTTCTAGGCACATGAAGCATTATAGCAGATTTGCTTTTTAATGCATTTTGATGGGGCGCCTAAAGAGTTACACGTAGCAGTATTTAAACTGACGCTCAACTCAGGGTAAGGGAATTTCCCCCGAAGATAGATACAGGTACACTAACAAATCTTCCAGTGAAATCGAGTGCATTTTGAGCAGCCGCACAAACCACTGTGAGGAAAATAAGCAGCATTAGTGATGCGTACTAGGAGTGGTTTGACCGATCGTTTGCTACCGCACACACGCTACTAACTGATGCGTGGTATCAACTCCAAAGAACCCACCGAATACGATGGATCTTCACGGTAAATCGGAGAGGTCGACGAACGAGTTGGTCTTACACTGTGGATTCGCCGTTCACCAAGTCCAACAGGGATGACATATACTTGGAACAAACGTTTGGGGTGACTGTTCGAGATCAGAGAATCAGTAGATGATTCCAAAAACCGATTTCTTATGGGAAACAACTTTTCGACCTGCCAGAAATGCTGACGCAGGATTACCTCAGAATTTCTATTGGTTCCAGGACGCAGTGAATTAGTGTCGTGCATATGACACCAAACAAGGAAGGTTGCGACAAGCTGTTTAGAAAATATCAATGAACCTGATATCACGGGGACTTTCAGTATGAGCCCCTCCAGTAAGCGACAGACCACAGAGCAGACCTGGTTAAAGCTCTTCATAGAATTCTACCTTGGTGTTACTTTCGTGACAACGCACCTAACCTCAATCACAAGTAACGAATGTGTGTAGACAAACCATCGGAATAACAGGAGACTGGCAACATGGGACAGTGTGCTCGGAAAAGCCGACTCAACACACCATGTATAACAAAGATTTTTTTACGGAGAACCGAGTTGGACGGAAAAGGTCGGCAGTGAAAGCTTTTACAACGCAATCTTCATAAATGTACAGGGAGCTTTTCTATTTGGCACTGAAGCACAAAAACTCAACGTGGAAGTTTTGAAGATGTGCAACCAAGCTGGTATTCAAAGGTGATAGATAAAATCGGAGAAATGTTTGAGTTGCGGACTTGTAGTTCACTCCAACATATGTCCTCCAATTATCTATCTCAAGGACCTACAACCCTAGAGGTGGGAGTAGTCTACTTTTCCCGCCTACCTGATGGTTTATGTGGATGAGTGTCAATTGCAAATCTTTTTACAATCGCAGTGACGACAAATAAATTGGATTGAAGCACTTCTAAGACGAACAAAACAAACGTAAACTATCGGCTCCCCTTTGTTATCAAAGTCCAATGAACCACATCTCGATAGCAGAGAAAGCAAGGCTTGTATGCCGACACCCCTCGTCTTAGGATTCAATCCAAACAAAGGACACATGTGAAAAGCGTTTATCAGTCACACTGTCACGGACTTGGTATTCGTACTCAATGGAACGACCTACACGTTCCAAGCAACATCTAGAGTTAACAGTTGCTTCAATTAAGCGATTCAACCATCGCTCCCTGTGGTGAAGTAGTACTCAAGAGCAGAGTACCCATGATTGTAGTGTTCGATGCGTTCAGTACACTCCTTGGTCAGCTTCTGGTAATAGGTTGTATGTCGTCCAATGGTGTCCTGCTGCAAGTAGGTCATCAGTAACAAGATCGGTGAAACCAATCCCCCGGGTCTATTTATCTTTTACAGTAATTTCTGGAAAGAACTATCTGATCATCAACGCCTAAAATCTTGAGATTGTGTGTCTTGGATGAGGGATGTGCGGATAACAAGTGTTTTTGAGTTCCTGCCTGCTTTCAAAATAATTGAAAAGATCGATCATCGTTCCGATACATTGAACGGTGAAGACCTCACCGTCAGATGGTTCAGAATGAACCAGGTGAAATCGGATACTTTATGAGGCCCGATTTCCCTTTGAAAATCAATCAACATTTTATCTATCCGTCTTGGTTGGCCCAAATTCCAGAAGGTATGTGATGCTAACTTCGGACCATAACATACCACCTGGAATATCTCAAATGTCCAAAAAGAATGCCCATCAACCTAGTTCTTAGAAAGAGAGAGGGAACAGTTAGTCCTGTATCCTTGTTTCTGACAGACAGCGTACGTCGTCATCGGTATTCGTTCAGATGTAGCACCCTTTGGGTGCCTAACTGTCATGCAACCCGAAGGAAGCACGAGGGTTGGGATACTGCCAGGTCGCCCAAGCCTAGACAGGGGAAGTCGAGAGGCAGAGGTCGGACCTTCGGGTCAATAAATTCGCGCTCTAATCAATGAGCCACCCCCCCCCCACAGCGTACATCGATGCAGAAGGAATCCAAAGTATGAGCAAGACCTACATTCTAATTGTTTAGGGTTGCTACAGCAGTCAGACGTAAAGAAGCTGCAACCGATTCTGATGCACAGCAAGTACAGCAGTCAGTTCTAGTGCTGGGACCTGCGGACAGTGTTCGAATTAGGGTGGGTAGGGTAGAGAAAACGTGAGTGCAAGAAAAGAGGCGCCAGTAGTAGCATATTTTCACCCACTCTGCTGTATACGACTAGTAAGGCGATCCGGCTGGTGACGCCACGCGACGACCGATGTGGCATGAGAGTATTGTTAGTTGTCAGTGTCATGCTTGTACGTGGGTTGGGACATTCGCAGTGCGCCCACACCTAGAAAGGAGGTAGATTAGGGTTCTTCACCAAAGCCTTTGCCCAAAATCCCGACTAAAATGCAGCGGCGTTTGGCGGGAAATGCAACTGCATTACCACTTTTATAGAACAAGTCGCATCATGTTCTAACCTCAAACCTGGAGGACCAGGAGACCAACCTGATATGAGAGACTGAGTGTCGCAGGACCCACCTAGTACAGCTCAATGGGTCACGGAGATACAGAAACCGTCACATCCGATAAGGCTAAGTCTCTTCGTGACGTCACGATTATCTCGACTCACAACAAGAAGGACTTGGAAACTGTATTAGTCAGACCTCCAGCCATCGATCAGTTTGTGGTAGGATAGACACAGACAGTCACAAGTATAGTTCAGTCTGTCATGCAGGTTCACAAACCGTCACCACGACAGTGCATTTTAAGCCATTCCCGTGGCCACCTGCTGCCACTCATATGGACTTTACAATTAAAGTAGAACCCTGGAAGGTGAACCTGGAACCCAATAAGGCCTCCGAGGTTTATGACAGTATACATTAGTTCAAGCGCCACCGAGCTCCTCGTCCGGATAATCTCCCAGGAACATTATTTAAGGATGGAGGTGAAGCCTTCAGTTAGCGCTTGTCTTATTCACTTGACCCCATTTGGGAAAAGGATACCATTCAAGAGAACTGTGTGAAATCAGTGTCCATTTTCAAAAATGCGATCCGTAATACATGCGATATCAACAGGAAAACAAGCCTGACTCCGATCGTAGACACTCTTGGCGTCACTTGTCCTTCGTCGCCCTATGGTGGCACCGCGTGATCCCCACCATGCCGGGTAGCAGAAGCTGCAAGATATGACTGGCGACCGACGTCGATGAGGTTTGTGTTGACAGTTTCTAGATTCTTCGAATGAGTGTCTGGAGGCGTCAGTACTCCGAATGATTACAGAAGTCTGTAACTAACTCCATTCTCCATCCAATTATATTCTTTTCTCCATAATAAGGCTTTCAAACAATTGTGGCTGTACGGCAGCGAGCCATCAGTGTTGAACGTTGACGTTACGTTTGCGACAATGATGGTGATGATACACAACGCTACGGACCAGCCTCTTCGTGACGGATTTGAAAGTCCGGAGCATCGTTTCTGTCAGGATTATATTATTTCACAAAAAGGCCCTCTCACAATAGGGTGAACTATTAAAAGTGACCGAACTAATATTATAAGAAATGAACGGTTCAACAGAGTATTTCTGACCGAAAACACTTCACGCACATACGTCAAAACAACGTAAACTTCTACTTAGAATGGTTGCACACTTTTCAAAGCAAAGGGCGATAACAGGTAATGCAAATGAACTTGGAAAGCCTACAGTGACAAGGCTTGCCACAAACGGCTGCCAAAACCGTCTAAAAAGCCATGAAGTTTTTCAAACGGAAGATCGTCTCATCTTCTAGTCGGCTTGCGAGAAGAGGAACTTAAGTGCTATAAAAACAGAATGGGTGGCAAAATGTTATTTCTGACTTGAAAGTTCGAGAATAATGGCATTTTCAAAAACGAGTTGCTCAGTTATCTGACTCAAGGTGGCACAACAACATAAAATTAGGGAGTGATGACTTGTCAGAAGAATGTTGGACTCGAAGAACAATCTGTCGAAACGATATTACGGGTTGTTCAATAGCTAACTACATACCCAACTCGATTGATCGCATGGACGGCGAAGATACGTAAATATCAAGCTGAAATCAGAGCCTAGGTTTGGCTTTATATAATAACGGTTCACAAAATCAATAAGTTGTTTGGCGTTAAATTGAACAAGGTTAACTTCTCTGACTATGGCGGCATTTTTGATGCAACAAGAAAACCGGAATACAACGTCTTGTTCCAAACCACTTTGTCGGTTTGTGGCCTGCGAAGGTACATCGAGTAGCAAACTCCACGCAAGGTGGAAGCTGCCCGCATTCGTTAATGGAAGCAAAAGACTTGGAAATTCGTGACAGGAAATCCCTCAAGGCAGTAATCACATATAGCTGATTGTCACAGTCTCCGGTTTTAAGCAAGCAACATGCTTTCAGGAGTTGAAAACAATCGTAACATGACAACAATAAACAATTGTGAGTGTCCAACAGCAGTGAAAACCAATTGTGAATGCAAAGTGATAGGTTCAAAACAATTCTTTGCATACCTTGGAAATGGAATGTCTTGTGGTCGACAGTTATGGTGAAAGTGCTGTCGTCTTCGTCGTCGATTCCAACCTGAGCGTTCTTCAATTTCACACAACCACGTCGTTCACCCCGCACCATCTTTTCCTTAGACTGAGGGACAACAAAGAAAGAAGTCTTCGGTAGCGGCAATAACAGTTAGGCCTCGGAAACAAGACTGTACTCGGTTAAGTCAGTAAACACATTTAGGTTAACATATCTACTCAGATAACCTGGTGAAGACAGACAATCTGAAAGCATGTTGACCCATTCGATAAATGACAATGTTAAGGCAAATGGATGTGACATAGGTCTGGCCCAAATCGATTCCGTATTCAGTGCGCTGAATGGTTCACTGGACTGGGGTGAAGCGATACCTACAGAACCAATAGCGAGGTGTTTTAGCTAATTTAGAGAAGGTAGGTAACTTGCCACTAGTTCAGTCCCAATTCTTCCCTTCGGTTGCATGGCACCTGTGCACTGAAAACGCAATTGTACTTGGTGTTTGAATAAACACCAAGTGAGTTCACTTGAAATATAATTCTCGCATGGTGAGCCGCAAAAATGGCGTGGTAGAAGATGCCAAAATGTCTTTTCGAATTATTTGGCGGATTGACGTTACAATGTTCTTCCTTGGTATGCCTGGATCGACATTTTGGTCGTGTCAAACCCCTCACGGTAAAACGTGGCCGAACAATAGGAAAGGTGATTTCGACCCCATAGTCGTACATGCCGACGTAATAGAGCTCAAGATACCTCAGCGGTTAAGGCGTCAACTTATTAACCGGAAGGTCTGTGGTTCCAACCCAACCTCAGCATCTCGACTGCTTGTCTAGGTCTGGGTAACCTGGTGGTATCTCAGCCCTCGTGCGCTGTTCGGGTGACATGGTAGTTAGGCACCAAAAGGGTGTTACAGCTGAACGATTATTAATATTATGCTATGCTGATACATAGTCATCATCAACGACAGCATGACATCAGTCTTCAACACCAATGCTTCACTGCCGTACAATCATGACTTATTCGAAAGCCTTATTATAAAGAAAAGAATAAAGGTGGATGGGGGAGGGACTTAATGCTAGCTTAACACAATCATTCCGAGGTGCCTACACCTCCAGACATTCACTCAGGCAATCTGGATAGAAACTGACAACAAGAACGCCACTGACATCGGTTGG